ATCAAGTTCCACTCTATAAGCCAGTCAGAAAGGATGATTTTTGACCCAATCCTATAACCTACACTTTTTGAAATTATGTTTTTCATGCTAACATCAATTACTTTAACCAATATTATTTCCTATGCATTGATGTATTTATTAGTCTAGTCTACTGCTTATTCCTATGGGAATAATCACTGTTATGAAGGTGGGCAGCACGAGCTAAGCTGAAGTCCTGAGCTGTTGAATGTGAGGCCTCACAAGTACAACAAGTACAAAGTATTCTTTGAGAAGGTAATGATCTTGAAACTCACCTACTTGTTTGGGGCGGGGGAGGTTTATATTGAAAAATCAGTGACATCTCATATGGACTGTGTTTGAAAAGATTTGGTGAGGAACTGTGTAATTTTTATTTTGCTATTTAAAATAGTGTAAAAATAACTGGCAGAAACAGGCCAATATCTGAAATATGTCTTATGTGATAGTGCTGACCTTTGTCTTGCCAAGTAACTGTTATGCATGATGGGGTCCTGCTCTCTTGGGGGTGACTGAACACCTACCTGCCATGGGAAGCAGTGAATTAATTCTTGGTTTGCTCTGCTTGTGTGTGTCGCTTTTCCTTTCCCTATTAAACTGTCTTTATCTCCACCCATGAATTTTCTGGCTTTTACCCTTCCAATTCTCACTCCTAACCTACTGGTGGGGGAGTAACTGGGGGACAACATGGGACCTGGTGTTTGGCTGGGGTTTAACCACAACAGGGAAAAAAAATCAGTGCCTCGTGACAGAAAGAACTTCCCCTGGAAACATTTTGAAACTAAGAGGTATAATGTTTTCAACGTGTTCTAACTCTGATCAGCCTGATTTAACTCTGATTTCTAAATAGCTCTGACATTTAAAATTTTTTCAATAAAATATTAATTCTCGTCATTTTGAAAAAAAAAATAATATTTTATTATTTGCAAACAAAATAAGTTGCTTCTATCATGCTAAACTATCTAACTCTTAGATTCATAATATTGGTTATGTTTAGTAAATTATATACTTCGTACCTTATCCTAAAATTCACAGCCAAAATAAAATACCTTTAACATATTCAACTGGATTTTTTCAGCACTTAGTAGTGTAAAATGTTATGACAGTAAAGAAGTGAAATGAGAAATACAGTTCATTTTAGCTTATTTTCAGCAACAAAAGATGCTTTCATTGATATGTTCCTGTGGTATGTAACACTGCTGATTAAACTGTACATAGAAATCAGTTTTGTCAAACTTTTCTGACCATCTTTATCATATGGAGACTGGGTCTTTAGCTCTTAAATAGTGTTGTCCATCACTTATGTGAGCCTGTAAAAATCATAATATAAATAAATTTACATTTCATAGATAAATTTATATTTGTTCAAAAATTTGTTCAAATACGGGCTTAAGATTTTCAAATTGTTGATGAATCAATCATAGGAGAAAAAATGTCACTGTGCTAGGTCACGACAAATTCTTCACAGCAATAATTACAACAATATTTCACTTTCTCTTTTAACAGGATAGGGACTCTGTCCAAAAGTTCTATAAATTTACTTCTCAACACAGCATGATGATCACATATCTCACACGCTAGTTAAAGTACTTGGCAGGACAACTATGTAAATCACCTCCTTTTGGGTTTAGTGCATTTTGCACATGTTCAAAAAATAGTGAAAATATTAGTTGCTCATGTTAAGAAATCCTTAAGTGGATAAAATCAAAGCACAAGAACACAAGTCTTATCAAATTTGGGAGGGTAATCCAGTGGAAAATAAAATCATTTACCTTGAATAGAAACTTGCTCAAATTATTTGTATAAACTGAAAAGTCTCTCTTCTAGAATTTTCTTATGGAAAAAGAACATTACAAATAGCCCTGTTGGGTGTATGTACACTATTTGTGGAATAAGGAGCTACTCATCTTGGTTACAAAATTTGAGTCTGGATTTAAGCCAGTGTGGCCCAGATTCTGCCATCCTTACCAGAGCTGAATAGTACCTTAAGTTGGGCCTGATTATGAACCGATTACTCAAGTTATGCTAAGCAGCTTTTTTTTCTGCATGAATGGGGGCATTGTGAATAAACATTTACAAGTGATTCACAATTTGGCCTATGTGAGTAGTCTAACTCCCATCAATGCATGCACTCATGGAGTAAAGCACTACTAAATAAAAGTGGCAGAATGTGACCCTGTTGTAGTACTTGACATCTAACACGAAGATACTTTTTCATTAGGTAAATGAAACGCTGCAACCAACAGGCTATCATTCATTCTTTGAGACGAGGCTGATGCAAGAGCATGACAAGCTTAATGCAGGCCTGCAACTTATCACACCCTAGGTTTAATGAGGGGTTGAATACCTATTTATTTAATGCATAAAATTATGCTAGCAACATGTAACAAATAATTTCCATTGCTAGATTTGAGGATGAAGAATTATTAAAATTGCATCGCTTTCACTTAATTAAAATCAGAAAGAAAATGACATGACCTTTTATTTTCCCCTTTGATTTTGGAGGCTTCAAGCATCTAAAAATGTTGTAATATTTTGAAAATGGATATTTATTCTCCCCAAGTAATTTGTCAGTGCAATAAATTCCTAGTAATTTCTAGATTTTACTCCTGACACAAACCTCGTACAGATTTTTTGGACCAGATTTCAGAAGACAGTGAAAGCAAATTCTGCTATGAAAACAAGTAAGTAAATTGAAAGAGGTAACAATAAAAGTGGTTTGGAGTTTTCCAGCTAGACTTTTGCTTCTTTATCCACTAATGATGCTCTTAAAAATTATCTGGAAGTCACTTTGGCATGTTTTAAATACCATACCTTAAAAAATGATTATGTGGAAACTGGAAAAAATAAAACACAAAAAAACCCCAAACCCAAAACCAAAATAAAACAAAATAAACAAACAAACAAAACACCCAAACAAACAAACAAAAACACACCACATTTTTCAACTGGAAGGCTGGAAAGAATTAGACCTGCTACAAAATCCCTTGTATTTCCATCACTTTCATCCTTCTGCATGTGGTACAATTGTCTATATAAAATTAGTGTCTCTATCTTTACCAATAAAATTCTTTTTTCTGCTTTAAGTTATAAGACTCATTTAATGCCATCTAAACAGACCATAAAAAGGGAAAAGATAAATTCTAGTCATAAAACTCCTTTTCAGTTCCTCTGGCCAAAATTGAAGCTAATTTTTAAAAGGAGAAACAAATCAAGAAACCACAAATTGGAGTATATGTATATGTTAAGCTTTGAGTTTATTAGTGGTAAATAGGACAACCTTCCTTTCAGCTGTTTAAGAATCTGCTGTAAAAAAAACAATTCAACTGATGATTTCTAAGTTAAGTTTGTTTGTTCCTCTGACAGGTTGCCGAATGGATCCATCTCCAATTTTTGTTTCAAGTTTAGTCCCCCAGAGTGGGAGCAGAGCAAATTTGGGGGTTCCTTTTTGTTTGTGGGTACTGGTAGTTCTGCAGTTTCTGTGATGAAATGTGGTTCCTGGATCTTCCCTTCTTCCCCCATCCACCCTCTGTTCCTAACTAATGGTCAGACAGTAAAGCAAGAAGGAGCAGGGGGTGCCTAGAGAGTTGTATCCTGTTCTAATCAGAGCCATGCAAGTCTTTCTTTATTTCAATTAATTTACTTGCCTTTATGAACCTGAGAGACTGACTGTTGCTTTCAAAGAGCCTGACATTTCACTCATCTGAAGGAGCTTGGAATGTGACAAGGGGAAAGGGAGGAGAAGTAAATCAAAGCAGATAGCAGTTCTCCAGATGTAAAGTATTTTTCTTCTCCTCTATTTTTTTTTTCCACCAGAAATGTCAGAAAGTCTGCTGACATTTTAATTCCTTTATGATAGCCTGGGACCTTAGAGCCAAATCCTTCTGCCACTGCAGTAGAAAAAAATTTTTCCTATATACTTTAAAGGGAGCAAGCCAGTTTTTTACTCTGGAAAACATATAAGCAAAGTATCAACAAATTGTAACTAAAACTAAATGAAATGTATTTTTGTAATGCCTTAAGATCAGTTACAAACTGAAACTGGCAAGTCTTGTTAGACTTCTTTCATTTTAATTTGACTATAATTAGCAAAACCCAGTAAGATGGACTGTACTGGAAGTAAGACTTCGCTTTTGTGGTTTTTTTCCCCAAAACTGGGTTCTGCTGAAAGTGTAGCAGTACTATTCCATGCTCTCTTTTAGTAACCTAAGTTTTATGACACCCTATCTGCAACCTTAAAGATTTAATTTAAACACTGGTTGATTTACATAATCTATGCATGTCTTTCAAAACTCTACTAACCTCTGTGATGCTGCTTTCAGTGGTATATCTGACACAAAATAATTCATTATATTTAATATGAATACACACAAGTCCATAAGATAAACAATTACTTTCTATTCTTATTACATTAGTTGTCCATTGATATAAGTTCAACAGTCTCAACGTGCATTTAGTAAAATAGCAGAGTTCACTTAGAGCAGGAGCGCAGTGATGAGAAAACTCAGTCTACAAATTCCATCTACAAAATGAATGGTCATATATTTCCTTCTTTGCACAGTGTGCTTAGAGATTTACATCATGGATTGAGTATAATAAATTTATTATCCTTTACAGGGTAAAGTATTTTTAAGTATTGTGAAGTATTCATTTGTAAAGCATGAAATTTTTATATAGGACTGCTAAAAACCATGGAGTAGACATATTTACTTAGTAGTTTTATTCTTTTTTGCAGGTTCTATAATCATATTTCTTCAACTGGTACAACAAAACATACTTACATATAAAAAACAAAACAAAGAAGGCTTGTTGAGCTTGATGCACAGTAAATCTATTTGGTTTATTCTTGTTTTATTGTTAAATATTATATTGCATTTAAGCAGACATTGTGTATATTGTGATTTCTAGCATTCCACACACAGCAGCTTATTTTTTCTCCCTTTAAATATGGGAAATAAAAATGGTTTTAGTTTGCTATTAAAAAAAAGAAATTGAGAAAGGGTACTGCTATATTACATGGCCCAGGAAATATTGGCTGCATGCTCTTTGGCTTTCATCCGTAGAACTGCAATGCTGGAGGACCTCCTTTCAAACTCTGGCTTGGTTTCAAAAGCATGTCCATTGGTTGCCCCAGAAAGTAATGAGTCAGTAAAAAAATTATTGAGGGGCACGTGGCTGAACTGATTCTGGTGGTTTGAAAAGCCTGTGTAGCCAGAATCTGTCCGGGGTGAATGGGAATAAGGTGTCATACAGGAAGACGTATCTCGTGGCAGCATGCAGGAAGTAACCACAGAACCACTAGCCGCATTCCCTGCCCACAGATTGTTCTGAATCTGGAACATATAAAATTAATACAATTAAATTTAGACAGTTCATCTTTTGTTTTCAGTAGTGTTTGATTTCCTTTACTTCACATATTCATTATTAGTTCTCCTCCAAAACAAGCAACAAGTACTTAACCAATTCTCTGCAATTATGTTAGAAAATAGTACAAAGCGATCACACGAGCCAAAATACTACATCCTTCACTTAAGAGCAAGGGTTGATGAGTCATATTCCTTGCTCTGTCATCCATATGTTCCATGGCTCCATATGTGATGTTTACCTTTGAACCTCAGGATGCCATCAGCCCATCCAGTCAATAAACTTAGTGGAAGCACACAACTGACTTCGGAGAAAAGAGGTCAAAAGAGTGTAAAAGATCATAACTGTTTTTACCATAAAACTTCTCCTCATCAGAATTCTTACTGTAATGGTAAGAAAGAGTAGAAAATGGTGAACAAAAGAAACCACTTTGGGTTTCTCAAGCAACAAAGCCCAACAAGTATTTGCAAAATTTAATATTAAGAATCCTTGCATAATTACTTTAAAAAAATGAAACCATAAATCACATGAATGATTGATAATACATTCAAGGGTTTATCTTCTTTTCTACATTCAAGAGTTATTCAACAGTTTTGAGATAAGACTTCTTTTCATTAGGTTTTTAGGTCAAATTATACTTTGAGGGCATTTCTGTTTCAGCGCTCAGCCTTAACAGGCTGCACTGTGCATCCACGGAAAATTTTGCATGACAGACTAGGACACAAACTTTGTGGTTACCAGCAATGCCTGGATTAACCGTGTAGTCAAGCTTTGATGTGTAATCCTTTCTATACTTGGCAGTCACTTAAAGCTCCATTCTGAGTCTCAGGCCTTCAATCGTCTATGCATAGATGCTATTTATGGATAGGCGTTTTTAACTTATTTGTTACTAGATAAACAGGCAGGAAGATTTTATAGACCTAGCATAAGCCAGTTCTTGTCATTACCTCAGACTGTGCATTTTTTTATTCCTGCCTTATTCACTTTGATTTGAGCAAACTTCATACTCAACAGCTGGCCTTCTGTTCTTTAAAAATCTCTGCTCTCTGTCTCTTTATGAGTATTACATGGATATGATATAATTTCTCACATACTCAAACTCCCTCAGTCATTTCTCACTTGCACACAGAGTTATAAAATATACAGCTTTGTATGTCTTCTCCACTTTAACTTATATCTCTTTCCTCAACGCTGATTTTTTTTAATGTACAAATAACACCATGCAAGACATTTTTAGCCCTCATTCACAGCAGAGAACTTGTCAACCAGTAACTATATCCTTTTATTTGTTTCACTTTGCTAAATTTGTCTTCATCCTAAAAATCTGTTTTCTGTTCAGTATATCATTGCTTCGATGCACTGTGATTGAGCCCACATGTCTTTGTTCTCTGCTGTATGTTGAAGTAATTGCAGTTACTCTTTGGTTAACACTGTAAAGTGAATTCCCACTTCAAACTTAATTTTACATTCATGTTCCAAATCCACAGACAAAGGAATTTTGACTTTAAGATATGAAGGTTATCTCTCTAGTTGACTGATTTTTTTTCTGCCAAAGTAGTGGTCAGGGGAAGTAATGAATTATGACAGACACACACATACACACACATACAGAATGAAAACATGTTTCTAATGCTGATGAGTTGGGGTTTTTTCCCGTTGTCCTATCACTTTGCAACAGCACATACTCACCCAACCACCAACAAACTAAAGCAATAAATTATGGTTCACTGAACTCATCTAGCTGAGATCTATTGCAGATAGCAAGGATGAAATAGTATTATTTTAAAAGTTAGTTTTAAACAGTTATATTAGCGAGGTCACCAGGAGCTGACAAACTAATTTGGTCTCCTTCAGAATTCCAGCAGCAAAAAAAAACAACCAGTAAATGCACCATTTTGGTTTCTTGCAGAAGCCTCAGGAAAAGTCATGGTAGCAACACATCTCACCAAACTCCTGGTCTGCTCAGCTCCTTGTTTACACAGACATTCATTTGTGCAGTCATACACAAAGTTCCACACACACTTGTGAATGGAGCTTGCTTTTCCATTCACACACATACACACAGCTAGCTGGGCACATCTCAGGCATCTGCTCCTGTATATTTGAGGTGGTCTGCTGAGAGATAAAGGAGTGAGAAAAGTGTCTGGGAAAGGACACAGAGGATGTTTCCTCTTTCTTGTCAGCCTCCTAAAATCTACATGAGGAAAGAGAATCTAATGAGAGTTTCAGAACTTGCCAGTTCCCTCTACCCTAATCAGTTTTCAAAAAACTCTGAAACATCAGCCCATGGGAAACCACTCTGTGTCTTGGCATGATCATCAGCTGCATTATTACTTCTAAGACAGTTTTGACTTATAATCAGACAAATTTGTCCAGGGTTAATCTATGCAGTGTCTAATACAGGAGCTGTTTTTGAAGGAGTTTATAACCTCCAAAGCTAACTCACATGCGAAAAAGTCTCACGTATCTGACTTACTAAAATTTATTCCTAAGAAATATTATGCCAAATGCTGCAGTCACCCAGGCTGCACAGATATTTATGGAAAAAAAATTCCCAAAAAATCTATTTAAATAGGAACGTACACAAGTTTGCCTTTAATACAATCATGATGGGAAGACTTCAAAAGGTTTAGAGGCTCAGTTTGAAAGTACTCAATAACCTATGTGATCTGGAGGAATCCCAAAAACACTCTTTCCTTCCATATTTAGCAGTTTGGTTTGCAGTAAACTAAGTTTAGTACCGTTAATTTTCTTGATATTTTTTCCTAGACAAATCTCTTTCAGTCTAGTTTCAGTGAAATTGCACAGGTGTAAATGAGAACAGAATTCAGTTGCAGATCCTAAAATATACCAATGTCTTGTTAAGGAAATATGTGAACAAACTATTAATTCCTAAAACTTTCAAAGGGGTGTCCTAGGTTTTTTCCTCAGAGGAAGGAATCCAAATTAGTAAACCTAACTTCAGGAATGCCACAGAATGCTAGAAAAGTTTTACATGTTTTCTTATGAGGCAGTTATGTTTTCCAAAAGAATGTTTCAGTCAGATCAATTTTCTATTGATTTTAGTTGGTTGAGTGACTTCACTTTTTATATTAGATTTTAATTTCTTAACAAGGAATTACAACATAAATATCTTGTAGTGAAATTTAGGTGCAGAAGGTATTCCTGTATTAAAAATAAATACAGTAGTGTTTCACAATAAGTTAAAATTATGAAACCTCCTTCTGGTATGTTAGAAGGAAAAGGGACGTTATGTACATAAATTTAAAGAAAATATTTTTCCTCTTAAAATCTTGTGTGATCCATGAACTATATAAAAGGCAATTCAGAGGCTGTGAATGAGGCTATACATAGAGCACATCTCTGGTTTCTTTTAACATCACAAGCAACTTGAGCTTTGCTCTTGTGGTTACCATGAAATTACCAGAGCCCTTCGATATATTTACCTACTGTATGTTTTATACACACATACACATGCACACACACCCTTCCTGATAGAAGAAGAAATAGGATTTCATAGGCATGACAAGAACATAAGAGAGAGTTATGGTTGTTAACACAGGTATGATATCATTTCCTAAGCACATGACCTTCTGCTTGACACTTCAGAGGAAAATGAGCTGAGGTAATTGGTCATCTCACTTAGTGTCATCACTTTTTTCTGTTAAACTTTCAAGCTCCTTGAGCTTCAACCTTTTTACACAGCACCTGGAGAAATCACATAAACTCAAGTCTCAACATTTTCTGAGTTTTATTGTCAGGTTCTCCCACCAACAAATCTCTTGACTCATGTTGTTTGAGTCACCTGCCTATCCAGACTGGAGTCTGTTTCCAACAGACACGCATATGAACACACATATATGAGCACACAACTTCTAATTGAGTAGACACATATTTTAGTCTTCACATTCTTATCTCTGTTAAGGTCTCTCAATATAAATATTATGTATGTTAATTATGTAACTATACTTATTACTCTAATAACTAATTAGAAATTGCACATTTTCTCTGTTTTCACAGTGTTCCTGGACACTGCAAGGAAATCAAGAGCGGCACTAACTGAACAGTTAAGAATTTACATAATTACACAAAATGTGAAAGTCAGACTGTTTTGCTAAATTTTTGTTAGTCCTCTTCTTGTATGAAACAACAATCCTTGTCCAGAAAACATCAAACCAGTGGTAGCACAAGGAGGCACTTTAGACAAATTAAATGCAATAGCTGTTAAACTGCTCAAAACTGCTAGTTCACAATTCATGATCTGTTAATTATTCCTAGTCCATCAGCACAATTAATTTGGTGTCACTTCAAACTTTTTTTGTTCTGTTTCTTAAGAACATCCAAAATATGGGTAGAGATTTGCTTGTACTTCCCAAGTTTATAGATTCTCAGAAGAATTTAAACTGAAAACTCACAACTAACCTTGAATTTAGACAAGGTTAACCAAGCCCCATCCAATCACATTTTGAGTAGCTCCAGCTACAGGGTTTCATTAATTTCTACAGACAGTTTGTTCCAAAGCTTTACCACACTCACTGTAATTTTTTATTTACATCTAGACAGAATATTTCTCAGTTTAATTGGTGAATCATTTTGTAGGAACTGTTGGACCTACTGAACGTGTGAAGATCAGCTGTACTGTGTTGGGTTCAGGTACGTAAGAGAGAACTGCAGCACACTGTTCTCAGATATGTGCATAAAATGCTACTTGGTCTATGGTAGTGAAAGGCTTAATAATACAGCTCTAAAATACGTGGTAGACCCCTTCAGTACATATTTAGGCTTACATGTGGTGAACAAAATAAAAATCTGATCATGCTTAAACAAGCTTGCTAAGCTGAAAAATAATGTAGGATTTGAAAAGTCATCAAGCTTTCATTCTTGTATGGGATGCTTTGTAAACTGTAAATTCTCCCTACTGCAATCTCAAGCCCAGTTATCATAAGAATTAATTATATTTCACATTATG